ACTCCGAGCACTGATGCTCAACAGATGAAAGAGGGAATATGGATGGGGAACTTCTGTAGTCTGCAAATGTCCCCCAAGTGATTTTGATGTCCCTCACTCTTCATTGAGTAAGTTAAAGAAGTTGCTTCTAGGACCAGGCGCAGTAGCTCACACCTGTAATCCCAGCACTTTGGGAGGCTGAGGCGGGCCGATCACAAGGTCAGGAGTTTGAGACCAGCCTGAGGAACATGGTGAAAACCTGTCTCTACGAAAAATAAAAAATTAGCCGGGTGTGGTGGCGCGTGCCTGTAATCCCAGCTACTCAGGAGGCTGAGGTGGGAGAATCGTTTGAACCCAGGAAGCAGAGGTTGCAGTGAGCTGAGATCACATCACTGCACTCCAGCATAGGTGACACAGTGAGACTCCATCTCAAAAAATAAAAAAAATAGTACAGCCAGGCGAGGTGGCTCATGCCTGTAATCCCAGCATTTTGGGAGGCTGAGGCGGGCAGATCACCTGAGGTCAGGAGTTCAAGACCAGCCTGACCAACATGGAGACACTCTGTCTCTACTAAATATAGCAAATTAGGCTGGACGAGGTGGCTCATGCCTATAATCCCAGCACTTTGGGAGGCCGAGGCAGGTGGATCACAAGGTCAAGAGATCGAGACCATCCTAATCAACATAGTGAAACCCCGTCTCTACTAAAAATACAAAAATTAGCTGGGCATGGTGGCGCACACCTCTAGTCACAGCTACTCTGGAGGCTGAGGCAGGAGAATTGCTTGAACCCAGGAGGCAGAGGTTGCGGTGAGCCAAGATCATGGCGTCGCACTCCAGCCTGTGCAACAAGAGCGAAACTCCATCTCAAAAGAAAAAAAAAAGTAGAACATAACCTGCCTAATTATCCTCCCTCTTTTTTTTTTTTTTTTTTTTTTTTTTTTTTGAGAGGGAGTTTCGCCCTTGTTACCCAGGCTGGAGTGCAATGGCGCGATCTCGGCTCACCGCAACCTCCGCCTCCTGGGTTCAGGCAATTCTTCCTGCCTCAGCCTCCGGAGTAGCTGGGATTACAGGCACGCGCCACCATGCCCACCTAATTTTTTGCACCATTAGTAGAGACGGGGTTTCACCATGTTTACCAGGATGGTCTCGATCTCTTGACCTCATGATCCACCCTCCTCGGCCTCCCAAAGTGCTGGGATTACAGGCTTGAGCTACCGCGCCTGGCTATCCTCCCTCTTATAAAAAATATTCCACTAGCAAACTGATAACACTCAACTTCTGCATTCGGACCATGGAACATGAGCAAACTCAGATTCAAACTCATTTCAGCAAAAGAGCAGAGGGCCAAGGGTATGCCACTGGGTATGGAACACAGTGAAAGGGGCCTGAAGGCCTGAGATCCATGAAAGTAAGAGAAACCAAGAGCATCTCAGTGAAGCCCCAGCTCTCATCCTGGCTGTAATGACCCACCTCCCTGGCTCAGATGAATCAGGAAAAACTGCTTCCTGAACTCAAAGTGAAGCCACCTCTAGGGCTGGAAGGAGCCGAGAGGTTCTGAGCAGAGGCAGTTTATAATACATTCCAGCCTACTTTTCAGGAAGGCATTTCCCTGCAACAGACAACTACAGATTATCTTTTCCAGCTAAGGCTCTTCCTACCCCACCCTCCCATCCTCCATCCTCCACACCCCCTTCCCTTCATAAGCCCAAGCTGGCACTATCCTAGAGCACGTTTCAGTTGCCTAAAAAAGACAGATGAACTTGGGCCTTCCCCTTGAAATTTCTCTGTGCCACTCCTAAGACACATACCTCTGATCCCCTCTCCCACCGCAAAAACACATGCTGAAGTATCCCCTGTTCAAGAGAATCAAGTTGCTAATTACCATCCATTCTCTATACTTAGCATGTGTCCTCAGAGACACTTTGATCTGCCCTTAAGGGGGTCCTCTTCCTTCCCCGGCCCCCAGTCTTATTGGTACAATCTCCTTCCCTAGCCTCCCCAGTGTAATGCCTTTGATGGGGTCTAGCATCTCATATTCCTTTAGGTCAAGCCCAAAGAGCCTGTCCCAAAGGATGCAAGCAGGTGCCGCGAATCCTCCCCACCACCTGCAGACTTACTTCCCTCTGAAGCCATCCTCTCAGGTTTGGGCACTAACCATGGCTGTCTGGAAGCCTCCAGAATGAGGCAGTCAGGTCCAGGACCCAGAGTAACCTGGCTCCAGTAGGTGCACAGGGATCCAAGGAAGGGAGGATAAAGATCAGATCAAACAGAACTAGAATATGGAACTCAGGCATTCTGCTGTGGGGGAGGGGAGAGGGAAAAGTGGGATGAGGGTTGGGGGAGATATTCCATGAAGTTTCTAGTAAGTATGCAAAAACCAGGAATCCCCTTCAAACTACAGTTTGGCAACACAACTGATGTTCACCTCTTTAGGGCTATTTGTAAATTCTTTCCCAGATTCCCAAATATTACAGTTTTACCATTTGGTTCCCTATATACTTCAGTTCTTCACCAACATATCTCATTTAGTGTCCTTCAATACCAGCCAGTTCTGTAACTGACTTCCTGTTAACAGCAGGTTCATGGTAGATCCCTGACTTAACTTAACGATGGCTATATTTTCTGAACTACATTCGGAGTACATTGGTCTGTATACTTAAGGATCAAGGGAACTAAAGTTTAAAACTAGAATTGTCACCAGGTGCAGTGGCTCACACCTGTAATCCCAGCACTTTGGGAGGCCGAGGCAGGCAGATCATGAGGTCAGGAGTTCGAGACCAGCATGGTGAAACCCCATCTCTCCTAAAAATAAAAAAAAAAAAAAATTAGCCCGGCATGGTGGTATACGCTTGTAGTCCCAGCTACTCGGGAGGCTGAGGCAGGAGAATTGCTTGAACCTGGCAGGTGGAGGTTTCAGTGAGCCGAGATCATGCCACTGCACTCCAGCCTGTGTGACAGAGCAAGACTCCAACTCAAAAAATAAAAAATAAAAAATAGAATTGTCAGATGATCCAAGGTGCTCAATTGCTGTGTGCACATCATTTCCTTGGAAAGCTGTCCAGTCTACTACAATAGGCTCTTTACTCCACAGAAGCTTTATCCTTTGCTGAAAAGCCTCACTAAATTTAAAAAGCTGCCATGCAGTTTAAAATTTCAAGTGCAGAAAGTTTTTCTTTTTGTTAAATTATTTTGATTTAAATTTTAAAAATATAATTTCTCTGCTTAGGTTCCTGTCGACTATTTCAGGCCAGTAACTCCCAGACTGTCCTCTATAGTCACAGCTTCATTCATTCAAACTTGGACTTCCTTCCTTGGGGTTCACAGCATCTTTCTTGCTTCCTCTGAGATAACTTTTTTTTTTTTTTTTTTTTTTTTGAGACGGAATCTCGCTCTTTTACCTAGGCTGGAGTGCAGTGGCGCTATCTTGGCTCACTGCAACCTTCACCTACCAGGTTCAATGGATTCTTCTGCCTCAGCCTCCCGAGTAGCTGGGATTATAGGTGTAAGCCACGACGCCCAGCTAATTTTTTATTTTTAGTAGAGACAAGGTTTCACTACATTGGCCAGGCTGGTCTCAAACTCCTGACCTCAGCCTCCCAAAGTAATGGGATTACGGGCGTGAGCCACCACACTGGGCCTTCTTTTCTAAAGACTCTTTTATTAATAAAACCTGAAGGCTGAAATCATCCTTTTTCTTTCTAACAAAATTACTTAGATTTTTAAAAACTTTTAATAGGTAATACATTAGCAAGATTCAAAAATCAAACTGCAAAATAAAATACATAGGAATAAGTATGCCTCCCACCCCTTTCTACTGTATCATATGTTTCTTGTGAATCCCTGCAGAGATATTTTATGCGACTACAAGTAAATACAAACCATATATATATATATATATATATATATATATATATATATATATTTTTTTTTTTTTTTTTTTTTTTTTTTTTTTTTTTTTTCCGGAGATGTAATCTCGCTCTATCGCCCAGGCTGGAGTGCAATGGCACGATCTCAGCTCACTGCAACCTCCGCCTCCTGGGTTCAAGCGATTCTCCTGCCTCGGTCTCTTGAGTAGCTGGGATTACAGGAATGCGCCACTACATCCGGCTGATTTTTGTATTTTTAGTAGAGGTGGAGTTTCGCCATGTTGGTCAGGCTGATCTTGGACTCCTGACCTCGTGATCCACCTTCCTCAGCCTCCCAAAGTGTTGGGATTGCAGGCGTGAACCACCGCGCCCGGCCATACCATATTCTTTAAAAAAAGCAATAAATTGCAGGTTTTTCTGGTTACACAATTAATATATATTCCAATGCTCTCGTCGTTATAAATAATGCCGTAATGCTGATCTTTATAATGATATTTTGGTCATCATTTTCATTTATTTAAACGAGTCCTGTAAGGAGAATTTCTATATTCTTTAAAAAATTATAAAAACTCCTAGAAGGTGCACTTTATTACGCTATTATTAGCTACTCACCACTATAAGAAAGAGTGCTGAATATGCAGTAGAGACCTGAGTTTGAATCTTGGTTTGACCGCTGAAACATACTTCACCAGTTTCATAAGACAACTTTACGCTATTTTCGCTTTACGGAATATTGATACCCGTCATGCATTCTTTACCGCCAACGCTTTGAAATGGAACAGGGGAACTGGATGTAACAGAGGGGAGGGAAGAAAACCTCTTTCTTCTCTAAGATAAAGGGGCTCTGAATCCTGGAGCCCTTGTTTCTTCAGGCACTAGAAACTCACTGCTCCTGAAATGGGCGTGTATCTTGAGATAATGACAGGCCTCTATACGTCATCGTTCTATCCGCATCCATCCCTATCCCCCCCTCTAACGCTGTGTACCTAGCACACAGTGGGCACACTCCACGTGGTTTAGCCTGCAAAGTTGCAAGTGGGGCCCCACGCCAAGCCGTGCTCTCGTGCGCCCCCTTCTGGCTAGCTGAAAATAAGGCAAAAATTGAGTACATTTTCCGGCGTGCCTAGAGAGACTGACTTCCGGCCCTGCAGGAAGGAAATTGACGAACACGTGACCCGGCCGGGCAGACGTAGCTGCGTACGGACTTGGAATCTCTGGCTTGAGAGTGATCATGTTTCTCCAGTATTACCTCAACGAGGAAGGAGATCGGGTCTATACGCTGAAGGTGAGGAGAGAAAACAGGTTGTAAATAGGCATAGCTAGAAGTGTAGATGGGAGGAGTGAGTGAGGCCGTCCACTGAGTTACCTAGCTGGGTGCGGGGAACCAGAAAGTCCAGAACCGGGGTGAGGAAGAACCGGGAGTGCGCAACTAATTTTTTTAATTAAAAAAAAAAATGTGATAGGTCGCTGTGGCTCACTCCTGTACTCCTAACACTTGGGGAGGCCGAGGCAGATGAATTGCCTGAGCTCGGGAGTTCAAGACCACCTCGGCAACACGATGAAACCCTGTCTCTACTAAAATATAAAAAATTAGCCTGGCGTGGCGCCCTGCGCCTGTAATCTCAGCTACTGGGGAGGCTGAGACAGAAGAGTCGCTTGAACCCAGGAGGCGGAGGTTGCAGAGAGCTGAGATTGCGCTGTTGGACTCCAGCCTGAGCGACAGAGCGAGACTCCGTCTCAAAAAAATATGTATATATAATATATATATATTTTATAAAATTTTAAAAAATCGTATTCATCTCTAGGTGGGTTAGAAGTCACTTTTTCTTTTTCTTTTCTTTCCTTTTTTTTTTTTTTTTGAGACAGGGATTTGCTTTGTTGCCTAGGCTGTAGTGCAGTGGCGCCATCTAAGCTCACTGAAGCCAATCTTGGCTCAAACGCTCCTCCTGCCTCAGCCTCCCGAGTAGCTGAGACGACGGGCGTGTGCCACCATGCCTGGCTAATTTTTGGTTTTGGGGTTTTTTGTTTTTTTGTTTGGTTGGTTTTGTGTGTTTGTTTTTTGTAGAGACGGGGTTTGCCATATTGCCCAGGCTGGTCTCGAACTTCTGACTTCAAGCGATCCTCCCGCCTTGGCTTGCCAAAGTATTGGGATTACAGGCGTGAGCCACCGCACCTGACCTTTTTAAATTTTATTTTTATTTATTTACTTATTTGTACAACTTTTTGAGCTGACCATTGCATCTTACGTTTTCATGTTTGCTCTTTTTCACACTGTTCCGACCCCATCTCGCCACTCCTGAACTGACATACGTTCTCTCTTCCGCGAACAGAAATTTGATCCGATGGGACAACAGACCTGCTCAGCCCATCCTGCTCGGTTCTCCCCAGATGACAAATACTCCCGACACCGAATCACCATCAAGAAACGCTTCAAGGTGCTCATGACCCAGCAACCGCGCCCTGTCCTCTGAAAGTCCGTTAAACTGATGTCTCTTCTGCTGCCTGTTAACCCTCAGAGACTCCATAACCAAACTCTTCAATCCGTGAGCCCTGATACCTTTTTGCCAGCCATACTCTGTGGCATCCAGTGTCATCATGGCGACTGATCATGCTTGTGTGAGCCTGTCATGGTGGCATCACCCGTAAAGGGAGCATGTTTGACTTTTCTCATATTTTAAATTACTGCGAGATTATTAAAGATAAAATTATTCGAAAGAGCTCTCATTTTGTGAGTTGCTGGAGGAAAGGATTGGCAGGTTTTTTTAAAAAAAAAAGAGAGGGAAATGATGGAGGAGCATACCCCAGAGAATTGCACCAATGCCACTTGAGAGAAAAACTTCAGACCTGCTGTAGCAAGAATGGTCATGCGCTGTTAGTGATAGGAGGGTATTGGGGAAGAAAGTTTAACAAAGACTTTCACAGCTGTCAGCATTCACTGAGAAATACTCCTGTTGGCACATACGTAATTTCTCATCCCTTGAAATGACATTTTGATTTAAAATGGAAGAGTACTTGAAAAAGTAAAGACATATTGTAGAGAGAAGGCAGTAAATTGAAAGTCAGAAGATCAGTATTCCTTTCTGTATAACTTTGAGAAAGTTACTTAACCTGTTTATTCTGATTTTTCTCCTAATTGACTTATCTACAAACTCAAATTGATACAGATTTAGTGGTGGGTCTCCCTCTCTCTCTCTCTTTTTTGAGACAGTCTTGCTCTCTTGTCCAGACTGGAGTTAAGTGGTATAATCTTTGCTGACTGCAACTTCTGCCTCCCACGTTCAAGCGATTCTCCTGCCTTAGCCACCTAAGTAACTGGGATTTCAGGCACTCCCTATCATGCAAGGCTAATTTTTGTATTTTTAGTGATGGGGTTTTGCTGTGTTGGACAAGCTGGTCTTAAACTCCTGACCTGAAGTGATCCACCCGCCTTGTCCTCCCAAAGCACTGGGATTATAGGCATGAGCCACGATGTCTAGCCTGGGTCTATCTTAATATATCTACAGTATTTGTCCATTTTGAATAGGAATGCTGTTATGCATATTTACTGCTCCTTTGGAAATATTTCCAGACTTTTAGTTTTCTCCATCAAAGAACTGTCTTCTTACATACACCTAACTGTATATTCTCTTTGGCACCTAGCCACTCTACATAGATCCTAATTTAGAAGATGAGGTATGAGAGATTCAAGCAGGAATTGTTTTTTCAAGCCGTTGTTAGGGCTTAAATTTTTAAAAACTAGTGAAGTTTGTTATTACCCAATCTCCTTATTCATGGCTTTTGACATTGGATTTGAATATTTTGCATAGTGCTGCTGATTTTTTTTGGAGCAGGGGGACGGAGTCTCACTGTGTGACCCAGGCTGGAGTGCAATGGCGAGATCTTGGCCCACTGCAACCTCCACATCCCAGGTCTGAGCGATTCTCCAGCCTCATCCTCCAGGTAGCTGGGGTTACAGGTGTGCGCCACCATGCCCAGCTGATTTTTGTATTTTTAGTAGACATTAAAGTACTGGGATTATAGGCATGAGCCACCGCAGCAAGCCTATTGCTGCTGATTTTAAAATTGCTTTGTGGATTCTGTATTTTAATTCTGCATCCCTTATTTTCTGTGATATCAAAAATTCTAGACTCCAGAAGCAGATATAATGTAAATTAGCACAGATGTGATTTATAAAGACTGGCCCTGGAAAGACCTTTTTTTTTTTTTTGAGTCAGCATCTCACTCCTGTGGTCCGGACAGGATTGCAGTGATGTGATCACAACTCATTGCAGCCTCAACCTCCCAGAGATCAAGCTATCCTCCCTCCCCATTTTAAAATTTTTTATAGAGATGAGGTTTCACTATGTTGCCCAGGCTGGTGTTGCACTCCTGGGCTCAAGTTATCCTCCTGCCTTGGCCTCTCAAAGTGCTGAGATTACAGGTGTGATCTACAGTGACTGCCAGACTGCTTTTCTTGGATCCTGCTATTTGATTATCCCAGCAGAAAAGTTCAGGATAGTTGTGTATTGCTGAAAAGAAAAAAAAAAATTTCTCAACTGGGGTCATAATTAATAAAAGACAGATGATTTTCAAATAAATTACTGAAACATGTAGGAATGGTGAAATGAGATATTTGTTACCTGTCAAGCAATTTTATTTGTTAGCCTGTTCACTTATTTGTAGGGTTCTTGGCATTGGATCTGAAGGATTCTAAAGAGTTAACTTACAGAAATTGTGAAATGAGATACTTGTTTCCTGTCAAGCAATTTTATTTCTTAGCTTGTTGACTTAGCTTGTTGACTTTCAAGATTGGATATAGGATATAGCACTGGATCTGAAAGATTTTAAAAGGTTATCTTATCCAATTAAGAGGATAATGGTTGCAGAAATATTTCTTAAGCCCTAAGTCAGTAAGTGAATTTTGCTACCAGTGTTTTAATGTTGGCCGAAATTCTGCCTTTATCTTATAAAAAAGAAAAAAGAATTAGCAGCCAGTGGTGGCGGCTCACACCTGTGATCCCAGCACTTTGGGAGGTGGATGCAGTTGGATCACAAGGTCAGGAGATCAAGACCATCCTGGCCCACATGGTGAAACCCTGTCTCTACTAAAATACAAAAAAAAAAAAAAAATTAGCTGGGCCTCGTGGCGTGCACCTGTAGTCCCAGCTACTCGGGAGGCTGAGGCAGGGGAATTTCTTGAACCCAGGAGGCAGAGAGAGGTTGCAGTAAGCTGAGATCACACCACTGTACTCCAGCTCTGGCGACAGCAAGACTCCATCTAAAAAAAAAAAAAAAAAAAAAAAACAAACAAGAATTAGCATTGCTCCATGCTACCACTATGTAGCTAAAAAGATTTACTCTGGAGGCCGGGCGCGGTGGCTCAAGCCTGTAATCCCAGCACTTTGGGAGGCCGAGGCGGGTGGATCACGAGGTCGAGAGATCGAGACCATCCTGGTCAACATGGTGAAACCCCGTCTCTACTAAAAATATAAAAAATTAGCTGGGCATGGTGGCGTGTGCCTATAATCTCAGCTACTCAGGAGGCTGAGGCAGGAGAATTGCCTGAGCCCAGGAGGCGGAGGTTGCGGTGAGCCAAGATCGCGCCATTGCACTCCAGCCTGGGTAACAAGAGCGAAACTCCGTCTCAAAAAAAAAAAAAAAAAAAAAAAAAAAAAGATTTACTCTGGAAATATTTCTAATGAATATAGAAGAGAACAAGCAAACTGACATGAATATATCAAGGACTTTTTCCATAAGAGAGCCTCTGGGGAATGAGCCTTCATTTTGTACCAGAGGCTGTGTCTCCCTGAGAAAATAAAGAGATCCCTGGGATATTAACGTCTGGGACATACACTTATAGGGCTTATTTAGTGCTCAGAAACAAGAAAAGTCTTAATAGGTATAGTATATTGGAATTAGGTGATATATATACATAAATGCAGAAACACTGGTAGGAAATTGGATTTCATAAAAATCCTGTGTTTCTTTATAAAGGAAAGTCTGAAGTTTGAATGAACAGCAGTCTTGAAAAACTTGATTCTGCAGAAGATGGATGAAAGCTGTGAGCCTGAATCAAGAAACACAGATTTGATAAAGTGTCAAGCTTTAGGAGGTTTACACTTTAAATTCAAATTTTTCATTTTGTTAGCAGGATCTTTTTAACCATTTTAACCCTATAATTCATTTTTTTGTTTTTTTTTGAGACAGAGTTTCACTTCTGTTGTCCAGGCTGGAGTGCCATGATAACGATTTCAGCTCACTGCAACCTCCACCTCTTGGGTTCAAGCGATTCTTCTGTCTCAGCCTCCCAGGTAGATAGGATTACAGGCATGTGCCACTACGCCCGGCTAATTTTGTATTTTTGGTAGAGAGGGGCGATCTCAGGTGATTGCCCGCCTGGGCTTCCCAAAGTGTTGGGATTACAGGGATCAGCCACCATGCCTGACAATCCTTTTAATTCTTTAAAGGATTTGGACTTTGTGTGTCATTTGATAAAAGAGAATTTCATAGAATGCAGTTCCCATTGCTAAACATAACCACTTGTGAGGAACAAAGACCCCAGGCAAAGCCAGGGCCAGTTTCTGGTCCTAGGTGATTGTTAAATTTAGAGGTCTTGATCAAAGCTATAGGAAATAGCTTTACAAACAAAATGTTGATGAGTCAAAATTTATTGAACACCTCCATTTATACATTAAATAAACACTAAGGAAAAATATTCTAGCGACTGTAAATGTAGTAGTGAAAATATCTCAACGTCCTCTGCTGTGTGTTCTTCAGTGGAACTTTCAGTCTGACTGGCATCTGAGTAGCATCTATTAAAAGGACAAGAACGGGAAAAAAATTAACATAGAACAAAGTGTGCTTAAGTTTAAGGTGCAATACTTTTTATTTTATTTTATTTATTTTGAGACGGAGTTTCGCTCTTGTCCTCCAGGCTGGAGTGCAATGGTGCCATCTCGGCTCACTGCAACCTCAGCCTCCCGGTTCAAGCGGTTTTCCTGCCTCAGCCTAAGGAGTAGCTGGGATTACAGACACGGCCACCGTGCCTGGCTAATTTTTGTATTTTGGGTAGAGATGGGGTTTTGCCATGCTGGACAGACTGATCTCGAACTTCTGACTTCAGTTGATCCATCCGCCTTGGCTTCCCAAAGTGCTAGGATTACAGTTGTGAACCACCGCCCCCCGCCTACTTTATAGTTTTAATTTTTTAACATAAAAATGCTTTATTTGTTGTGCTTGCTTCGGCAGCACATACACTAAAATAATGCTTTATTTGTATATAGACTTGCACATAAAAATTACAAGGAGGGTTATTCCTAGGTATAGGAGAGGTGTTTCTGGTTTATAAAGAAATCATGAATGTTTTCAGAGACATTCATGACAGAGAAATGGTTCCTCGGGTTCTGAGGGTGAGGAGCAGTGCCCGCCCCTAAGATGCTTCCAGAGTGAGTGTGCAGCACTGCCGGACCAAGAAAGGAAAGGTTTTTTTTCCTGTTTCACGCGAGTCAGGCAGTGCCCTGGACTACAGCTCCCGTCGTGCCTCTGGTCTCTTGCATTCGGCCCCGCCCGTCCGCCGTCGCCCGTGGCGAGCGCAGGCGCGCTGGACGCTGTCACCGCGGGCTGCGGAGGCTGGGCGGGGCTTTTGGGCGCCGGCGGGATGGTTCTGCCCTCTCACTGCACCCCCGGGCTTCTCTTCTGAAGGTTCACCTCGAATGAGGAACGAGCGGGGAGGGAAGGGAAGGGCTGCGGCGGCGCGGGCACAGCCCGCCGGGCCCGCGGCTAGGGGAGGCCAGGTCACGTAACTGCTGCTCTGGCGTCGGGCCGGGGAGGGGGCGCCAGCCCCAGCAGCGCGAGCCCTGCGCGCGCCGCGGCTCGGAAACAGTTACCGGCTAGTAAACAACAGCTGCGCGCGCACCCTCGTCAGCTGGCGCCGGGATACAGCACCTGCGACCTCTTCCCTCACCCCGCTGCTCGCTCCTGCCCAGTCAGGCCAGCCTGAGCTGCCATCTCCTCTGCTGGGACCCGGTGGAAGAACGGCAAGGGGGTGACCTGCGCTGGGGCCAGGGTAGGAGTGAACGCACCTCCCGGCAAAGGGGTGGCCCGTTCTGTCACAGGCAGGAGAAGCCTAGCGAGCGGACCGTGGCTTAGTGGACTAGCAACGACCTGCCGCGACTCTGAGCTGCAGTTCGAGGTGTCTCGATCCGCTAACCTCCTCCCACACCCCGGGGACCTTTCTGCCAGGAGAAGAGCAGGCGCGCCACCCCCGCAGACCTTTCGGAGACGGGAATCCGCTCTGCCCCTCATCCTCCTCTGCTCACCCTTCTCTCAGTAGTCTGGGTTATTTTTCCCGTTATGCATGCGCACCTTTCCCACCAAACCCAAGTGGATTATCGACCACAAAAACACCGGGTGGCTTTGCACACACCTCCCCCCAGCCAGACCTGTGGGGTATTCACCTGATACACAACAGGTGGCCGGGTGTACACCTTTTTGCAATCGGACTCCACGCTGTAGTCGCCTGATAAAGGTGGGCCTGCACGCGCTTTGGTCAACTAGAACCGTGGGACACCCAGCAGATAAAGGACTACCTCGACAGGAACCTGGGGGCTGAGGGGAGGGAGGCTTGATCTGCTGCTCTGAGACCATGGCACTGAACCTTTAGCCCTGGACCAGAGAGGATAGCTAGAGAGCTCTTCATTCTGAAGGAAAGAAGTCACGCAAGATTGGCATTGTTTTGTCTTTTTGTTTTTTGGGGTTTTTTTCTCTCAAAAAAAAAAAAAATTCACCTATTGGTGGTGCACTTTCTGGGATAGTCGGCTGGAATTCTGAGTAGAAGGATTCTTAGTTGGGGCTTTTTGTGTGGTGTGAATCAAGGTTATTGAGATGTGGGGTTTTTTTTTCAAGTTATCTTTTGTATTATTTCAGTCAGAAGTAGCTAGTGTATAAGAGGAAGATTTTGCGAGGTTCCCACCGCTTTTTTGTTGTTGTTGTTGTTGTTCTTAAAAAGAAAAAAAAAATGCATCCTCCAGAAACCACCACCAAGATGGCTTCAGTTCGGTTCATGGTGACACCGACAAAGATCGATGACATTCCAGGTTTGTCAGACACCAGTCCGGACCTCAGCTCTCGATCTAGTTCCCGAGTAAGATTTAGCTCCCGGGAAAGTGTGCCTGAAACAAGCCGTAGTGAGCCTATGAGTGAGATGTCTGGGGCCACCACTTCGCTGGCAACTGTTGCACTGGATCCACCCAGTGACCGGACTTCTCATCCCCAGGATGTCACCGAGGGTAAGTGGAAACGCAGACCGCAGTATACTTTGATTACCGCCTGCTTTATCCAAGATGACTGTCTATGGATCTGGAAAATCATTTCCCCAATTTTATAATCATCAGGAATCAAGGCTCCTCTTTTTGAGACGCTTAGAAACTCTTTGGAATAATGGTATAGTGGCTCTTTGCAGTAGTAATTTGGTATGTGAGAAGGTGTATGACAAGAAGGAAGGCAAATGTGTATTTTTAACTTCCTCATTTTTGTCTTCTTGGAGTTGAAATGGGTATTTGATTAAGGATAGATATCAAAGAATGTAATCGGTTTTTAACACAGGGAATCCTACATTTTAAAATTTAGTGGGTCGGATATGTGTTCTCTAGTCATCATTGGCCATTTCAGTCTGCTTTAAGGCCAGTTACATGGAGGAATTATTGATATATCTTAGTAGCGTTCCTCCACGACTTCGGATGTGTATTGCAGAATTTTTTTTTTTTTTTTTTTGAAATCTGTATTTTTATAGAGACCTTGGCACAAGTAGCTAAGCCTCCTCAGGGTGATGGTTGGTAGAACTTATGTGCTATTCTGTCAAATGGAGGACTTCTAAAAAGGCTTTTAGGGTCTGATTCCCATGTAATTTCTTCTGTCTGAGCTTTAGATGTAATGTCTGTTGAGTGTTTATAGTTACCCTGTAGCACACAAGCCACTCCAGGCTCATGTTGTCCGCTGCAGACCTTTAGCTTCCTAAACCAGTTTGTGTGTGTCAGCTGGCTTGGTTTTATTTGGTGTAGTGGGAAGAGGTGATGGAAGAGAGAGCAGAGAGAAAATGGGGAGATTATAACATTTTTTGGACTCTAAAATTTAGAAGTTTGAGACTGTAGTGCTTTATATATTTAGTTTTATGCTGTGTTGTAGCTAGTACAGTCTTTTAGTGATAAAAATTTCCCTTAAAGACTCTTAAAATGATATTCCACCCAAGTTTGAAAACCATAGCCTCAGCCACTGACTTGTGAAAGCGAGGCTTACTCACCATTTTCCGGTGTCAGAAAATATTGTTCCTTTTAACCTAAAGGGTTCCGGAAACCAGAATGATTTTAGTTCCTTAATTCTGTTTGTGTTTTTAATGTCTGGAGACAAGGTAGATTTGGTAAAGTTTACAGTCCTAGAATTCACTCATCCTTGACTAATCATTTCTTCTTTTATGGAGATGTTATAGGTTGGTTCTCGGACTTTACTGTTTTCAACTTCTTGACAAATTTTATACTATGTCATGTACACTGCATTAAATTACAATATGAAATAAAAATTTATCCTTTCCTCTTCCTCCAAATTAATTCCAAATTGTGGTTTTATCCTTCATGCTGTATTTAGTTGTAAAATATCCGGTAAAGACTATACCAGTATTAATTTTTTAATACATTTCTCATTAGGTAATTTATAGTTTAGTGTTGTTAGACTTGTGGCTTACATGTTATGGAGTTGTATTTTTATTCTTTTAAAAGTGGGCTTATTTCAGTAATGTGTTAGCCTAGCAGAACAGAATCTTTGTCCAGGCTGAGGTTCTTACGTTACCCTTAAGCATTCTTTACAGTCTAGAGTAGTATCCTTTTCCCCTATCGGGGTAAAAATGGGGACATATCTAAGTGAAGTCTCTGTTGTTTACATGGGTTACAGATGTTAAAAGCTTGATTCTCTATGTGACACATTCCTTACTTAAAGTTTAAATACTCTCTGGTACCCAGGTGAAAGGGAAATTAATAAATAGGCTGGCCATTAGAGAGCACTTTGCCTTATTCTCTTGGAACTAGTTTTCTAGTTTCCCAGTGACCTACCTTTTCTCTTTTTTTTTTTCTTTCTATATTATGATGACTGTCATAATGCGATAAATCTTCCCCACCATTAAAAGAAACCAGTTAGAGACATAATTATTTCACCCTTGGCTTCTCACTATGTGAAAACCCTTGTTAGATTTAGATGTAGATCTTCAAAGGATGCTGTTGTGAATAAAGGGTGTAATGTTAATATACATTTCCCTCTAGGCTGACTTTATTTTTATTTATTTATTTAGTGAGACAGAATCTCGCTCTGTCGCCCAGGCTGGAGTTTAGTGGCACAATCTCGGCTCACTACCACCTCTGCCTCCTAGGTTCAAGCAATTCTCCTGCCTCAGCCTCCTGATTACAGGCACTTTTTTTTTTTTTTGATTCTTAGTAGAGATGGGATTTCACCATGTTAGCCAGGATGTACTCTATCTCCCAACCTCGTTATCGCCGGCATTGGCCTCCCAAAGTGCTTGGATTACGGGTGTGTGCCACCATGCCCAGCCAGAATGCAGTTGTTTTCTATATTAAAGCCAGCCTAGGCTGGACGCAGTGGCTCATGCCGGTAATCCCAGCACTTTGGGAGGCCCAGGTGTGCAGATCATGAGGTCAGGAGTTCGAGACCAGCATGGCCAATGTGGTGAAACCCCGTCTCTACTAAAAATACAAAAATTAGCTGGGTATGGTGGTACATGCCTGTAAACTCAGGAGGCTGAGGCAGGAAAATTGCTTGAACCTGGGAGGTAGAGGTTACAATGAGCCGAGATTGTGCCATTGCACTCCAGCCTTGGTGACAGAGTGAGAGTCTGTCTCAAAAAAAAAAGGAAAACAATTGCACCCTTTTCTACAGTTGACTGTCCTTAAGCTCATAGTGCATTTCACAATTAAGTTTACTATTTTAGTATTTACAGTTCTCTGAATTTTTTGACCCTTTGTACATCCTTCTGTGGTTGTGACATTAGTATGATCCTTTCCCCATTCCTCTCATGTTTCTTCCAGTAGAGAAACTTCCCGCCTGAAGTTTCTTGTCATGTCTTTTACTCACATTACAAAAGGTGACACATTAAGTTTTAAATACTTAATTTCAGTGTGTTTTAATTTTTTTTGCTATTGGCTTTCTGCTATCAAAGTAATTTTTCTTTCATTTTGGTAAGGCTCAATGTGAATGTATAGGACTGTTCAGTTGGTAAAATCAAGAATGTTGGCACTGTATTAGCTTATGTATGAAGAATGCCTTAAAGGTACAAAAGAAACTTGAGGGTGGATGCCTCTGGAAAGTGAGTTATAAAAATAAAGTGGAATTTTCTTTTACCAAAACAATTAAAGGCATGTACAATTTAAAAATACTTACAGTGTGTCACTTTTATAATAGTTTTGAAAAGCACCACATGTTAGAGCTAATGATCTAGACTCTCATTCTCATCAAACCACATTTTAATAAATGAGGAAACTTAAAACCCCAATAGATTAGACTTAAAAAAATAACAAAATAAATGAGGAAACTAAGGCTTATAGAGATGGTTATTTGTAGATCATATAGTGGCAAAGCCAACACTGAAGTTCAGGCCTCCTGACTTTTATCCAGTCCTCTTTCTTGCATCATCTTGCCTCTGCTATGATGAACATTTTTTATGTGTGCTATGAAGCATATTTTTATATGTCATTTGTAGTCCCTAATACTTTTTTTTTTTTTTTTTTTTTTTTTTTTTTGAGATGGAGTCTTACTTACTCTGTCATCCAGTCTGGAGTGTAGTGGTGCTATCTCGGCTCACTGCAACCTCTGCCTCCCTGGACCAAGTGATTCTCCTGCCTCAGCCTCCCAAGTAGCTAGTATTACAGACATCTGCAACCACACCTAAATTTTGTATTTTCAGCAGAGATGGGGTTTCACCATGTTGACCAGCCTGGTCTTGAACTCCTGACCTCAAATGATCTGCCTGCCTCAGCCTCTCAAAGTGCTGGGATTACCCGTGTGAATCACACACCGTGCGTGCAGTCCCTAAAACATTTCAACCTTTTATAATTCAACAAATACTCCCTGAGACTCTGATTTGTATGAGGCAGTCTGGTATTAATTGTAGGAAATATACAGATAAGATATAGTTTCTGTCTTTGCAGATCTGATGGTATAGTAATGAAAATAACTAGAGCACTTTATTTATTTCTTCATCAAATATTTGTTACTCTGAGCACTTATTAAGGATAAGGCCCTGTGCTGTCTGTTAAAGATGTTGGGTGTTAAAGATGGAGAAAAAGAATCCATTATCTATTCTAAGGAAAGTTATGATCTAATAGGGAAAGCAAACACATTTGTATATAAATTATACTGCTGTGTAAGTCCAACAGTAGAATATACAAAAATATAGCAAAGGAAATGATGAACTGAAATAAAATAGAGACACTAAGAGACTGGAGGACTTGATAAGGTAAAGTGTATTGAAAGGTATAGAAAGATTAAAGACTGGTCAGACGGTTGAATATTGTTGGAGTGAGCAATTTCAGAGGTGGAGCATTTCTCATATAATGTGATCTAGTGTGTAGCCTCTGGAGTGGGTTTCTGAAGTGCAGAGTTGAGGTCTAAGTATAACAACTTTGAGACTGGCTGTTAACCAAGTTTTTGTGAGAGATGTTAGAGATACAAAGGTAATTTATATAAGTCCTTTCTTTTTTTTTTTTTTTGGAGGGAAGCTGGCGAGGGCGGGGTGGGGGGTGGGAGAGCAGGGGAAGGAGGAGGGAGGAGGGTAGGATCAGATAAGTCCTTTCTTTAAGGAGTCATGTCCTTTCTGAAACCTTTCTGATTGAACTCGATATCCAGATATAATAAACCAGGCTCTTTTTGTCCCTATAATGCCTGTATCACTTTATTTTGTTTTTATTTATGTATTATCTTTCTCAGCTATCCTGTAGGCTTCTTTAGGACAAGTATACAAAATTACTTACACCTAGTATAATATGTGATATCCCATATACCTTGTATACAATAAATATATATTGAGTTGAAGATCTTATATACTTAGAAACGAGACAAATTAAAAATGTATTGTGATAAAGGCGTATTATTGTATGTATTAGACCAGTACTAATTCATCTGGCTGCATAATGAAATGATCTAGAGAGCTTTTAAAAAAATACCTCTAGGCTGGGCATGGTGGCTCATGCCTGTAATCTCAGCACTTTGGGAGGCCAAGGTGGGTGGATCA